AGAAAAAGCAAGAAAGTCCAATTGCCTGAAAAAGAATCCAGCAACTGAGCAGAGAAACCGTTGCTTATATTTATGAAGGCCACCCCTGGATAGCCTTATCAAGATTAAAATGTTTAACAATTCTCACCTGTCTGTAGGAATGTGCAGGGCAGGCGGATGAGAGGAGTGTCTCTAGCCATACAGCTGTGGTGATATTAATTGGATATGGCATTGGGATTACAGGTAGCCCTTGAATCACAACCATTTATTTAGCAACCATTTGAAATGACAAAGATACTGAAGACAGTGACTTACGACCAGTCCTCGCCCTGATGACAACTGAATCCCCTCAGTCTTGTGATCAAAATTCGAACACTTGGCAACTGGCATGTATTTATGATATTTGCAGAATCCCAGGGGTGGGGGGTGTCATATGTTCACCATTTGTGACTTTCCCAACCGGTTTCCGACAAGGAAAGTCAACAGAGGAAGCTAGATAACAGGAGTCACCTACAACATACAGTGTAAGAGCTGTAACAACCACTATGTGGGACAAACAGGCAGAAGACAGGCAGAATACATCCACAAACACCAACTGGCAGTCAGAAGATATAATGAAAATTCTTTCATTTCACAACCTAGTTTCAATCGGGAAAAATGTGCATATCTTAGAGCAGGCCAAGTCCAAAAATGCCAGGGAATTTCTAGAAGCCTGGTACTCTGACAAATCAGCCATCAATAGACACATAGACGTTAATGACATCTACAGACTATGCAAAAGAGACAATCAACCAGCCCAAAAGAGAACAAAAAGACTCCCAGCAGCTCTCCACCAGTAATCAGCACCACCAACAACAACAACTTCAAACCAACAGTCAAGTAAACAATACTCCAGTCCAGAATCTGCCAAAGAGCCGTCAGTAAATAGCCCAACCAAAGAATCTCTGAGACCGGCCACACCCACACAGACAGGCAAGACACCAGAATGTAAACTGACAGCAAACAGCACTCCTTACTAGCACTGATGATGTTACCTAGTTAGGGTCATGAAATGTCTGCAAGAAAACAAGCAAACTCAGGGAGCACCAAGGACCCCCTCATTTCAACCCTGAGCTACAAATATTCTCCTTTATTGAAACTAGATTTATAGCAACAGCCACATGATTCACTTAACAACTGCAGTGGTTTGTTTAACAATTGGAGCAGAAATGTAATAAAATTAGGTGCACCTCACTTAACATCTGCCCTGGTTAGCAACAGAAATTTCAATGCCAATTGTGATCGTAAGTTGACTACCTGGACAATATATATATATATTTCTGTTGGGCTGCTCCCAGTTTATTTTCGGCTCTGTTTGACATACTCTTTGTGCTGTATTACAGTATGTATGGCGCCTATGTGTTCTGTGTTCTCTTGAAAACTGATCGAAACATGAATGTGAGTCTTAAGTACAGAAAACATAGAAACAGGAACCTACAAAATAAACTCACATGAATGTAAAAGAGACTCCACCACAAAGGCATTACTTGGTGGTAAACTCTATTAGTAGTCTGGCTCCAACAGTCCATAATATTGAAAATGAGTATGTGCTTAATTTGAATGCTAGGAGTGCTTAGTTTGGGAGGATGCTCCTATTTTAACTACTGCCTATGTAGGAAGAATAAGACGAATGAGGTTTCTCTTCAACTCTAAAATCCCATCATCAAAGAATAATTTGTGACATAGTGTCCTGAATAAACTACATGTGTCCTAAATATGGTGATAATACGTGTTTATAGAAGTTCAGTATTAAAAGAAAGGCTGCATTTTCCCCTTTTCCACCTCTGCTCCCAGTTTTAATCCAGCTCCACAGTCTTATAGGTAAACTAAGGATAAATATGTTTTATATTTAAATTTCCCTTTTGGTCAGGTTTATCATAACTTATATGTCAGAGTCAGTGGTGGGATTCATTTTTTTTTACTACCGGTTCTATGGGTGTGGCTTAGTGGGTGTGGGTTGGCCATTCCCACTCCACTCCAGGGGATGGATACTGTAAAATCTCTGTCCCCTCCCCACTCCAGGGAAAGAATACTGTAAAATCTCCATTCCCTCCCCACTCCAGGGGATCGATACTGTAAAATCTCTGTTCCCTTCCCACTCCAGGGGAAGGATACTGTAAAATCTCCATTCCCAACCCACTCCAGGGGAAGGATACTGTAAAATCTCCATTCCCTCCCCATTCCAGGGGAAGGATACTGTAAAATCTCCATTCCCCCCCCCACTCCAGGGGAAGGATACTGTAAAATCTC